CGGAACAAGCTGACGATATGCGCATCTCCTCTTGGTATTGAAGGTTCCCATAAAGTTTCGTTGAATTCCAGCCAGTAGTTGCAGAGAAGTAGGGCGGGAACGATCTACTCCATATGCATACTGCATAACTAATCAAGGGCCATAACTCTGAGTTAAAGTGTCTGACCGGAACAAGCCGACGATATGCGCATCTCCTCTTGGTACTGAAGTTTCCCATAAATTTTCGTTGAATTCCATCCAGTAGTTGCAGAGAACTACTCCGGAAACGATTTTTACTCTATATGCATACTACATAACTAATCAAGGGCCATAACTCTGAGTTAAAGGGTCGGACCGGAACAAGCAGACGATATGCGCATCTCCTCTTGATATTGATGATTCCCATAAAGTTTCGTTGAATTCCAGCCAGTAGTTGCAGAAAACTACTCCGGAAAGAAATTCGGACGGACGGACAACGCCAAAACTATATCCCCCTCCCGATTCCATCAGCGGGGGATAAAAAAAATTAATAAAACATCAAACAAAAAAATAATAAAAAATTAAGAAAAGATTTTTGTGAATGTATCGAAGTTTGACAAAATATTACATAATAACAAAATGAAAATAAGCAAAAATAAGCAAAATAAGCTTAAATGAAAATTATGACAAATGGAAAAATATGAAAAATATGGTGATATGTACATTGTATATTAAAATTTCTTGAAACCACAAAAGTACAAAAAGGTTTATTTTTCTTATAAAATAATGGAAATAATAAATTACATCTTACAATTTAACATAATATCGTACATTATAAATGTTGTAACTTTTCTGTGTCTTCACTAACTATTCATCAAACAACATTTAAAGGGAGATCACTCTGTTCTTCATAAAAATAATTAGACTAATATTTCAAAATTGGCTTCATTCTATAATAGAACAAGATCTTATATTTAAAGTATTTTAATGGTTTTTGTGATATTATAATGTATACTAGTTCACATAATTTCAATGATCCATTCACATGGTTAATTATAAATCGATGACATTTTGATTGTTTACCTTGTTGCGTGTATATTTAATCTATAATTCACTTTTTCAGTTCAAAAATGTTTCATACAGTTAAGTTATACTGTAGTAAAGCTAAATATAACTCATCAGACAGATGTAATTTCATGGACAATGGCATGTATACGAAGTACCATTCCCTACAAATTAACATGTGTAGTTTTATAAAAATTAGGAATCTATAAATGTTACTGTATCAATATGTTCATTTTATTAAATTCCTTTCCTCCTAAATACTTGATTTGTTTTGAAGCACCATGAACATGTTATATGGTTAATTTAAAGAAAAAAAATATTTAAAAAAACAAACAAAAACAAATAAAATGACAACCTACAAAACAAAAATTGAGAAATAATATTAGGTCCAGCTATTAATTTTCACAAAATTAGCAACAATATTGCACTGGAAAAAAGAAAAACGACAAAATAAAACACAACTAAAAATTACAGTTTACACAACTATGAAATCATTATTATTTGTAAGAAACATAATCTTAGGTAAGTTACATCACAACAAAAACTAAAAATTTTTGTTTATTAAACTTTACTTATAAAAGCAATGAATATACTATGTATTCCCCCATTTTATTATAGTGATATCTGCAGCCCCATTAAAAGAAATGCTAACAGGCATAAAAGAGTCTGTTGTACATGATTCCATAGTCCATGATTCCATTATACATGATATCAAAGTACATGATTCCATAGAACATGATTCCATTGTAAATGATACCTAAGTACATGATTCCATAGAACATGATTCCATTGTACATGATACCTAAGTACATGATTCCATAGAACATGATTCCATTGTAAATGATATCAAAGTACATGATTCCATAGTCCATGATTCAATTGTACATGATATCAAAGTACATGATTCCATAAAACATGATTCCACAGTATTTGATTCAATAGAACATTCCATAGTACCAGATTCCATAGAACATGATTCCATAGTACATGATTCCACAGTATGTGATTCAATAGAACATTCCATAGTACCAGATTCCATAGTACATGATTTCATAGTACATGATTCCATAGAACATGATTCCATTGTACATGTGTCAAGACTAGAATATGTGATACACTGGCAAGCAAGAAAAAAAACAGAGACAACACAGAGTGAGTACAAGGTGAAAGTACAAAATTTAACATCATTACTGATAACAACTCCATATAAAACATATATTCTATGTAAATAAATAATCTTCAACAACTTTTTTGATATTCAATATTTAGTTACCTGAGAAATGGTAACAGTGCCATTATACATGTAGCAAGGTTTCAAAATAAATATTTGAGTATGTAATGTTTAGGCACAAGTACATGTATATAATGTTTATATAATTTTTATTTATTAACAAAATATCAAAACAAAAGAAAACCGTGGCATATAAAAGCCTATAGAGATCTGTTCAACGCTTTTCTGAACATAAAAAGGTTTTTGAAAATTTACAAATGTAAGATATATGCTATGTTTGCCAATGAGAATTCTAGCAGTTTATATAAAGAGAAGAGTGAATAAAATGGATAAAATTAAAAAATTGTGAATCTATAAAGAAAATAACACTAGTTAAACATCTAATACCATTAAATTAGTGTCATAAATCTGATACCATTTGGTGTCATAAATCTAGTCAATTAAGTGTCATAGATCTGATACCATTAAGCTAGTGTCATAAATCTGATATCTATACGTTAGTGTCATAATTGAGAATATGCGAGACACAATGAGTTGGTAAATCTACATAATCCTAACATTTGACTGCCAGTACATAAACTATCATCAAACAGTTTTAACAACAAATACAAATACACTTAAATAAACTTCCCTTATATTCATCAATATTAAAATTCTTAGACAGTGACTTTTTAAACATTACAAAAATTAAGTACAGCATAAAGATATCATATGGCTAAATATTAGCATACTTTATTATTTCAATATTTTAGAATCTGAAGAAAAAAGTTATATTAGTTGATCAAGTAAGACTTTAAACACCGATGAATATTGGGCTTAGAACACAATATTATGCATTGATTATGCGATTTATATGGAAAATGAGACAACATTTTGTTTGTTTATATACAAATTGTAAGTCAATGGTCCATGAATAAAATGATTAGCAGCATGAACAATGGGTTAACCGGTTTGTTTTTTCTAACACACTTTGGTACTTAAGCAACTTATGTTAAAACAAGTTAAAATATGTACAGGTCTTTAAAAAAATCTGTACCACTATTTCATAAAAATCTGTACCACTATTTCATAAAAATCTGTACTACTATTTCATAATAGTTATCAGGTCTTGAAAATGTATTGTAAACAGCAGTAACTGAATTAACTAAATAAACCTGATAAATGATTATATATTTTAATAATCTCTCTTTTTTGGGGAGTGGGGTGGCTTAGCTTATAAGTAACATCAACACGTCAGGGGTCACATGACAACATTCAATCCTAATTGATGTAAATTTACTTCAGATGCCCCTTTCATAAGCAAACTGGATTGATTTACATTAACTTGACTTGATTACGTTGGTGAGGGGCAAATGAATCGAAGCCAAAGACATTACCTCATCAGCAACATAGGCCCGAATTGTTGTGTGCCAATAAGGAAACAAGACCAGAGTTGGTTTGTACCCTTAAAATGACCTTTAACCTTCCACCTTAAATCTAATAAAAGTAATGGAAAAAGTAGTTTTATTTTGCAAAATGTGGTATAAAAACTGAGAATTTATACAACTGAATAACTGTTCCTCACAAAATAAAACCTATATGAAATTCTATCCCTGTATACAAACTATAAACTATAACAAAAGCACCATCTACAAACATACCACTTGTCTACAAGTGACGGTTACTAATAAAACATATAATGCATGTGTTGGTACAAAAAAATCCATTTACTTACTAATAACTGACTTAAGTAAAGTTATGACAACTAATCACATGTCATGAAAATATACAAGTATATATAAAACAATAATCTTTTTTTGTGCGACTTGAGCTGTACATGAATGGATTCTCTAAAATAACACATTCATATTCCAATAGAAATGAATTTTTTGACTTTGTACTTATAATTTATAATAAATATGAAGAATATTTGAAAAATGTGTTTTAAAACATGGATTTCTTTACTCTATATAAAAACAAATATGTAACAATATCTAATGATGACTTTTTTTATATAATTCTATAAAAAATATGCATTTTGAAATCTTTAAGCTGCATGCCTCCAGATGAGCCAAACTATTTCAAGAAAATCAAATTTAAGAAAAGTACATTTAGATTTTAAGAAAAGTAAAAGGATAAATTTTACATATTTTGTGCAATTAATGATTGATTTTTCAGTATTTATTGCCATATATCTACTGTGGGACTAATGCAGCAAGGGCTATGTTTGCATACTTTTATCTCTTTTCGGTACTTACTTCACATGGATTGTAAGTGCTGTTTGCAGTGTGTAAGTTAGTTTCTTTCTTCACTTTACAATATTTTCCTTATTTTACTCAAGATTTTCATGAAAATTCATGAAAATAAGCATTAATTTGGAGGCATGCAGCTTTAAAAAGAAATGAATTTCTAGTGAATTTCCTAACTGTTTAGAAAAAAACAAAAACAATCCACATAATAATAATACAATGAAACAGTATTTCTATATTGCACACATTCATATAAAATAAGCTTGAATTTTTGGTTATAAATGCAAAGGATGATATTTTGCTATTCAAAAATATCTATATAAAAAGAAAAATTAAATGAATATAAAAATAAATACCAATTACTAACATCTATCTTATTTTTACCATGTTATTAAATTAAGTAAGAGAATCTGAAGACAGATTAGATAAAAAAAAAAGAAAAAATTAAGATTAAAATCTACAGTATCAGTCTGTGATAACAAAAAAAGACTCATAAACTATATACATGTATATTATATATATATATATATATATATATATTTTACATGCTTCAGAATAACTTAGTGACTACATAATTAACAACACAATCAAATCCATACAAATACTGAGTGAATTTCTTTAAAAAGTTAAATTACAATACACTAAATGGTAAAAATCCCGCACCTTTATGCATGCCTACTAATCACATGAATGACTAAGCAACCCGAGCTGTCAAATTTAACATTAGTCACACAGAAAACAAGTAAAAACTTCTGCTCAGCTGCAAACACCATTAGTTGGTATGTTTTTTTTTTAACCCCCTGCTCTCATCTTACTATTTCAAAAGTTGTATAAAAGGTTATATAAAATTTTGGCAATATTAATTCAGCTGTAAATGTGCTGATCTGATTCAGGATAGCTGTTGTAATCTTGCTGATGACCACTTCACTCTTTACATACCAACTCGATACCACATCTTCATCTCTCTAACTTGACGTATAAAAAAATATGCCAGCAAAATACCAACGATCTGGAAATACACATTTCATCCTTAATTTCAAAATTATGTCTATAATCAGTAAAACTGCCAATAATGATTGAAGAAAATGCAGTTGATATTCTTTTTAAACAATAAGATAAGAAAATATAATTGAAATTTGTCCACTTATAAGTTTGCTAGTACATACACTATGTATATTTTGTCAAGTTCTGTTTTATAAAGATTATATAAACATCAACATGATTTGAAGTAAATAAATCTCTCATGTGACAATAGAAGATTTTTAGCAAACTTATTGGGAACTCATTTGTTGCGTTTTTAACTCGCACAGGCACTATGAAGCTCATATGGGGTCTTTCCAGCTTTACTGGTGAAAGAAGACCTCTAGTGCTCTACATTGAATTGTAATTTATAGGGAACTAATGACAAATGGATTTGCTTTTAGTCAGGAGAGTAGCAAACAATGAACATACAGTAGAACTTCTATGAGTCGAACTTCGATTAGTCGATTTTCTCGATGTATCGAAGTAAAATGAAAGTCCCGATTTTTTCCCTTATATATTCCTTATAAAAACCTATTTATGAGTCGAGATTTTATGTGTCGAATTTTTCGATGTGTCGAAGTTTTTTCGTGGTTCGTATAGAATAAATCTAGTACAATTTACTACAAATAAGTCGAAGTCCGTTGATTATTTTGACACCTTCGATCTCGAGACATTTTTCACACCTTTTCTGGCCGCGATGACGATTTCTGATCAACTTTAGTGACAGGTGTTAATTACACAGCTAAGTGTTCAAACAGCCTTTGTATGCGTTTAAATGTGTGAAAAAATGCTTAAATCGTTACTATTTTAATTGCCGTAGTGGTATTTGAAAGTACATGTAAACAGTAAGAACTATCATTTGAGTGCTTCCGTGACCCGGTGTCGCGTGATAATCACACGCGAAACATTTACTATAAGCTGGTTTAGTTATTGCCCTTTCATATCGTTACGCCTTTTGTAACTTCATTGTTTACGTCAACAGGTAGTCCAAATCATTAACCGTAAAAAAGTCATATTTATCATTCTATAATGTAAAATATCAGATTAATGAATGAAAGAAAAACATGAAATAGGTTACGTTATAGATCTTATAATTAGGGCTAGTCACGGGTTGAAATTTTGTCATGAAATTTAGACCGATTCATGAGTGGAAGTCCCGATGTGTCGAAGTTTTTACGCAAGTCCCTCCAACTTCGACTTACCGAAGTTCTACTGTACTTCATTCTGTCATACAAAAATCCACACATTTTAAATAAATTGAGAGATAAAAAAAGAAGTGTATTATTCAATTCATTAGTGATTAACAGTTTATAATTTACACATTTATGACAGTTTATAAGTTTACCTGTGGAATAGAAGATCCAAGTCCTACTATGCCAACCATATCAAGGTTCCAGCTGAGCCATGTTAGAAATACATCTGTACAACCCATCGTGTTTATCTTGTCTACAGGCATCTGTATTTGTCAACAATAAATAAAAAAATGTTTTTGTGCTTTAAAAGTACACAAGCGTGTGTAAGATATCCTACATTAAAACATGCAAAGAAACATGTCCTGTCTATACTTTTAAGATTAAAGTTACCAATACATTACAGAAATTCTGTTAAATCACAAGTATGCTTTAAGGCACTATGAAATAAAAGTTGATATCTATTAGATTATTTATTCTGTTTATATCATTTGGGTATTTCTCCTTTCTTGCTGAACTTGGTTTCTCAGTAGCTTCATTCTTACAGGTGTGTGGGTTGCCTTAAAGATTCAGCTAACCACCATAAGCCTGTGGTTTGTGTGCATTTGCACTTAACCATTTCCAACACAAAGAGAATTTCCGCTAAATTTATGTTTTTCTCTGGACAACTACATATGTACAAATAATGCAACACCAAAATCTGTTTACATTTATTCAACAATAAATATGAAATAAGTGAAGGAAACATGGTAAAGTATTGAATATTACATCTGTTTTTGTGAGCTATTAGATATGGTATATCAATAATTATGTTAAAGACAGATATCCCTTGGTGTAAGGGATTTTAAAATGAAAATATTATTTGGAGCAATGGATGTCAGTTTGTACAGACAGACATAAAGGGTTACATGGACAATACATAATACCAGCCAGTATTGAAACAGTTAAAGGCCCTGTAAACCACTAAAAATGCTATCATTTTCATTATTTCTCAAAATATAATCATAGTGATTTAGTAATTTGTATGAAAGTCAAAATACAACATTTTGCTACCTTTACGACACATTACTGAATACAGCGCTACTTTCTTCAGTTGTTTAACATCTAACATGCTCTTATTCCATTATTTAAACATTATTAAACACATGTTTGACCTTTTCAAAAGAATAACAAAAAGAAAAGCATAGTGTGCCTTTAAAAATATTGGTAATAATAAATCAGTGTTTTACACTTAGCACTTACAGTTGAGTTATATCTGGTTCCGTATCCACATTTCACTTTAAATCCACCTTCCTACAATTGAAATATTCTATATATAGTAGAACACAATATTTGACTGATCACTTGATCTTGCCTTTTTAACAAGTTTAGTTTGTTACTTAATATCAAAGATCAAGTACTTCTGTTGTGAGCTATTAAGTATGGTATATCAATAATTATGTTATAGTCAAAATCAACTGTTAAAAAATTTATTTTCGGAACTGACACAAAACATACAGAAAACATATAATAACTAATTTATAATTAACCTTGCATGTTATTTATACATTTAATAACAAATGTTACACTGCATATGAATGAAATAGTATAAAACCAGTTCTTTATGCTATTCACCAATCAAATAAATATCTATGTCAGTGAATCACCATATTACAAATCTAGGGCACTATTATTTTACATTTTTCCAACATGGAAAAAAAGATCAAGGTCTTAATACTTGGTTATTGCACCTAAAACTTAGTACCTACTTAAAACCTGGACATTTTTATTTTTCACATTGATGACTTTCTAAAGTAATGAATTAGTGCTATAAAAAAACAAACAAAAAACAACAAGATATCTTTATAAAAGAAGTAGAATTACCCTAGGTTTTTTACAACATGACCAAGGTACTCCGCATTGTTGAGGTAAAGTAGAGCTGCAGGTGAACTGCGAGTTGTTATCATAATCCATGTACGAATCAAATCCACAACAATGAAACTGAAAAATATATAACATGCTATGATAACCAAACTACAAGAAAAACTTGATGGCCCTGTATTCCTCATGCGAGTTTAAATTAAATAGAATTTGCAAATTTTCAGATAGAGAGGTACAGATAGAGAAATACAAAATAACCCTTTAAAGACCATGTTCTCTTTTACACTTTTACTGTACTTCATTTGAGCCGCGCCATGACAAAACGAACACAGTGTGCATGCGACCAGCATGGATTCAGACCAGCCTGCGCATCCGCGCAGTCTGATCAGGATCCATGCTGTTCGCTGTCAGTTTCTCTACTTGTTAAAAGGTTTGAAAGTGAACAGCATGGATCATGATCAGACTGCACGGATGCGCAGGCTGGTCTGGATCCATGCTGGTCGAATACACATGTTGGTTTTGTCATGGCGCGGCTCATTTGTTTTTTTTTATGCATCTAAATTATATGAATAATAATTTATGTTTGCATATCTGATATGAAATTTATGATCAATTATTACAAATACTTTTGACTCATTAATTAACTTCAAATTAACCCCACCCCCCTGCAGAATTTCTTAAAAAAACTCTCCAACATTCAATTTCAGGGACCATCAATTATCAATTTTGGGAGTATCAAGATGATAATTGAAATGCAGTAAGCCAAAAATATAGAGCCTGGATACCAGTGGTATGACTACATGAATAAACAGGCTGGCCTGATTCTATATATGTGGAGAAAAAAACAGGCTGCCCTAATTGTGGCAAAAGAACAGGCTGGCCTGATTTTATACTGGTGGCAGAAACAGTTCTGGCCAGTTTAGGGTAATACAAATGTAAAAGGAAAACCATCACAAGTTTTATGTTTTCATTTTTACTTTAAATTTATTAGTGTCATTGTGAGCAGATATGATATGATTGATATCACTAATTACTTACACCAACTTGGACATGATCTACAGCCATTCTGTAATACTGGTTCTGATGATACTCTTCAACAAGGAACATAAAATTGTTGCTCACTAAATCAGGGACCTACAACAATGATTTATATAAATAAAATCAGCTGAATGTATATTGCACCAAACAAAAAATCATTTGTTTTTGTTAAAATGTCAATCATTCGTTGAATTAGCTATATCATGTTTGCAAAAATTATATATTTGTGGCGGCATGGCCGAGTGTTTAAGGCGTCAGACTAGTAAGCTAATGATAGCTAGCCACATAGAGGAGCAAGTCGTTGTTTCCTTGAGCAAGAAACTTTACACTCATTGCTAAGTACTGGTTGGTTCCAGGAACGGATTCGAAAGTGTGTCTATAAGCTTATAGCTTCCTACACAATCAAACTAAAAAAAATTCTATATAAACTAAAAATCATATTCATTTTAGTTTGCATGAATTTAAAAGTTCGTATGAAAAGGTAGGTTTTTCTCTTTTTGTAAGATTTAATACATGTAGATATATAATGACCATAAATTGATGCCTTTACCTTCTGTCTGTGAACAAATGCTAACACGCCAATAGCAATTTGAGTGAAGAATGCAAGCACTGTAACCACCAGAAACTGAAAAAGATATCTCAATGTAAAATGTACATACATGCATGTTATAAAATATCTTTTACGACTCATTAATTAGAAAAAAGTAATTCAAAAGTAATTGACAGCTATAGAATAGACATGATTTTCATTATTAACAGATTGGCAATATATATTATCTGTTGAAATGCTATTAAAATTGATTGTATTTTTAGCCTGTAGATTAAAATATCCTCCTTGACCCTTGGCCAAATCAGGGGTTTTTCGTTATCACATCTTTTGCCTCATATAAAAATGCAAACCTTGTATAGATGAATGAGTTTATACAATAAACTAGAGGATGCTTTTGTAAAAAAGCGCATGTCTCCCCCACTGCTGAGAATAACTGTGAATGGAAACAGGAATGGAAATGGAGAAATTGACCAACGGTCACTGTGACCTTGACCTTTGACCTACTGACCCCAAAAACAATAGGGATCATCTGCTCTATAAGACCAATCATCCTATGAAGTTTGAGGGCTGTATGTCAAAAGGAACTCTAGTTATCATCCGGAAACGAGAAATTGACCAACGGTCACTGTGACCTTGACCTTTGAACTACTGACCCCAAAAACAATAGGGATCATCTGCTCAATAAGACCAATCATCCTATGAAGTTTGAGGTCTGTAGGTCTAAAGGAACTCTAGTTATCATCCGGAAACGAGAAATTGACCAACGGTCAGTGTGACCTTGACCTTTGACCTACTGACCCCAAAAACAATAGGGATCATCAGCTCTATAAGACCAATCATCCTATGAAGTTTGAGGGCTGTAGGTCAAAAGGAACTCTAGTTATCATCCGGAAACGAGAAATTGACCAACGGTCACTGTGACCTTGACTTTGACCTACTGACCCCAAAAACAATAGGGATCATCTGCTCTATAAGACCAATCATCCTATGAAGTTTGAGGGCTGTAGGTCAAAAGGAACTCTAGTTATCATCCGGAAACGAGAAATTGACCAACGGTCACTGTGACCTTGACCTTTGAACTACTGACCCCAAAAACAATAGGGATCATCTGCTCAATAAGACCAATCATCCTATGAAGTTTGAGGTCTGTAGGTCTAAAGGAACTCTAGTTATCATCCGGAAACGAGAAATTGACCAACGGTCAGTGTGACCTTGACCTTTGACCTACTGACCCCAAAAACAATAGGGATCATCAGCTCTATAAGACCAATCATCCTATGAAGTTTGAGGGCTGTAGGTCAAAAGGAACTCTAGTTATCATCCGGAAACGAGAAATTGACCAACGGTCACTGTGACCTTGACCTTTGAACTACTGACCCCAAAAACAATAGGGATCATCTGCTCAATAAGACCATTCATCCTATGAAGTTTGAGAGCTGTAGGTCAAAAGGAACTCTAGTTATCGTCCGGAAACGAAGAATGGACGGACGGACGGACTGACTGACGGACGGACGGACTGACGGACGGACAGGGCAAAAACAATATGTCTCCCCCCGAGGTGGGGGAGACATAATTATTAACAATTAACCTACAGAATTAGTGTATTGAATGTGTCCTCCTTCAATACTCAACTACAGAAACAGAGCTACCAACAGTATAAAGCATGGTCCGACTGCACAGACTCTATACTGGTGGCAAAGGCAATTCACTTTCTGTTCCAGTCGATGAAGCACACCAGCCGATGAAGCACATGGAAAAGAACAGAAATTGTATGCACAACCGCTGTTACATATGTACAATATTCAATTACACATACACATGTAGAAGGTTTATAACATACATTAATTTGCACTTACTGTTTTAAGGAGACAGCTATTCTCTCTGACTGTGCCGGCTACACCAATTAATGAGTTAATCATTATAACAAAACCCACTGACATAAGCATGAGAGCTGGTATAAACAGCACCTTGTTAACAGACTCATAATCCTTGTTCTGTAACTCTATCCAAGCTCCTACCAGCAATAAACCTGCTCCAATTACCTGAAATGTTACATACATAAAAAAATTGTTACAAATTTCAATCTTTTTTTTTGCATTAAAAAAATGAAAACTGAAATATTTTGCTTCGTTTATTCTAATGTTTTAAATTGTTGAGAAAAATGATCCATCTTCCCATGAACATACATGTAACTGTTTGAGGTATCTATACACCTTGCCCATTTATATTACGTCCCATTAATCAGCAGTCAACTATATTTGGTGGTTATATCTAGAGCATGTACCCACTTTGAATTTTAAAATCAGTCATTTGAAAAGTGCCAAGTCTTAGTCTCTATCACATATCTGCTAAGCCAGGGCATAAACACACATTGTGGTTACGAATTTGCCTTGGTCAATAAGGTTAAAAAGTAGCGTGGCACAGTTAAAAAGAAAAAAAAAAGAAGAAGAATTTAGTGAGCGTTCGGGCTTGTACTGCTAGTCAAAAAGTGTAGCCGTATGCTAGACTCATATAGATAGCCTATACATATTGTACAGACTACCTATACTGCATGTTTATAGTAGATCTAAATAATAACAAGAGGGCCATGATGGCCCTAGATCGCTCACCTGACTTATCAAACTCATCCAAACAATTACCTAGACAAGCATTCTGACCAAGTCTCATGACAGGTGAGTCAAAAATGTGACCACTACAGTGTTAACAAGGATTATCCATATTTGAGCAGTGCGACCTAGTTTTTTACCCAGGTGACACATATTCAAACTTGACCTAGAAATCATCAAAACAAACTTTCAGACCAATTTCCAGGATACTTGGATCAAAACAGTAGCAACTAGAGTGTTAACAAGATTTTTCTATTTTTAGCTCCGGTGACCTAGTTTCACATGCGATTTCAAACTCATCCAAGCAATTACCTAGACAAGCATCCTGACCAAGTTTGATGATAATTGAGTCGAAAATGTGACCACTAGAATGTTAACAAGGTTTTTCCATATTTGGGCGGTGTGACCTAGTTTTTCATCCAAGATGACCCATGTTCGATCTTGACTTAGAAATCATCAAAACAAACTTTCAGGCCAATTAACAGAATATTTGGGTCACAACAGTAGCCACTAGAGTGTAAACAAGATTTTTCTAGTTTTAGCTCCTGTGACCTAGTTTTTCATCCGAGATGTCCCATGTTTGATTTATTCCCAGCAATGACCTAGACAATTTTCCTGACCAAGTTTGATGACAATTGAGTCAAAATTGTGACCACTAGAGTGTTAACAAGGTTTTTCTATTTTTAGATCCTGTGACCTAGTTTTTCATCCGAGATGACCCATGTTCGAATTCAACCGAGCTATCACCTAGACTAGCATCTTGATCAAGTTTGATGATGATTGATGCAAAAATGTGACCGCTAGAGTGTTAACAAGGTTTTTCTATTTTAGCTCCGGTGACCTACTTTTTCATCCGAGATGACCCATGTTCAAACTCATCCGAGCTATCACCTAGACAAAGATCTTGACAAAGTTTGATGACGACTGATGCAAAAATGTGACCGCTAGAGTGTTAACAAGGTTTTTTCTATTTTTAGCTCCGGTGACCTACTTTTTTCATCCGAGATGACCCATGTTCGAACTCATCCGAGCTATCACCTAGACAAGCATCTTGACCAAGTTTGATGATGATTGATGCAAAAAATGTGACCGCTAGAGTGTTAACAAGGTTTTTCTATTTTTAGCTCCGGTGACCTACTTTTTCATCCGAGATGACCCATGTTCGAACTCATCCAAGCTATCAACTAGATAAGCATCCTGACCAAGTTTGATGATGATTGATTCAAAAATGTGACCGCTAGAGTGTTAACAAGATTTTTCTATTTATTTATAGCTCCGGTGACCTAGTTTTTTCATCCGAGATGACCCATATTCAAACTCATCTGAGCTATTATCTAAACAAGCATCCTGACTAGACAAAACAATAACAAGTTTGATGATGATTGGGTCAAAAAATGTGACAAGGTTTTTCATTTTTAGAGTTTTTGCATCCGAGATGAGCCATGTTCGAATCATTCGAGCTTTCAACTTTGATAAGCATCCTGACCAAGTTTGATGATGATATTGAGGCAAAAAATGCGACCGCTAGAGTGTTTCACAAGCAATTGTGGGCGTACGACATAAAGACGGACATTTCACCGATCCTAAAGCTCACCGGGCCTGGGGCAAGCTCAGGTGAGGGCTAAAAAAGCAAAAACAATATGCCAAAATTGGTGTTTTACTGAATATACATGAAATTAGTAATTTTTTGGCAGTTGGATTGGCAAACTTTTTTTATGGAAAATACTAGGCCTATTTTAATAAATTTTTCTTGAACTTATTAAAACCATAAAACATTTGTTCTTTTTATGGACTGATTGTATAATGAATGTATTTCATAAAAAAGGCGAAATTTAAAATTAAGTTTACACCTGCTGAAGTTTTAATACAACCCCCGAAAGGATAAAAATTTTGCCCTTTTTCCAGAATTTAAATAAATTCCTTGGGGGGGGTTAAGGTTTTTTTTTGGTAAACTTTAAAATTTTTCGGGGAAAAGGGGTTTTGGGGACCAAAAAGTTGGGTTTAAAAAATTATCTTAAAAAATGTTTTAAAGAAACTTTAATTTTTTCTGGTTTTGGGGCGAAACAACCCCGGGGCCTTTTTGAAAATTTTTCCCTACAAATTTCAATTTAAATTTTAAAACCCAGGGGACCCTAAAAACTAAACAGTAACAAACAAGGATTTTCCCAAAATAACAAACCCAAATTTTTTTTTTTCTGAATTTATTGACAAATTATATTTGAAAGGCTCGTCAAGGGGGGGGTTTTTCAAAAAAAGACCTAAATTGTCTACACTACAGTTCCACATGTATGTCCCGGGCAAAATATGTAATGACGTGATTTAAAACAAAATAAAAGCTTGGGGGGTTTTAATTTTTTGGGTTTTTAACATATATACAATTAATTTTGCAACCCAAAAAGCTGAAAAATTTTTGGGGGAAATTTTTTTTTAAAAAGTTTTCTCGCAAAATTAAATTTAAGGTGGGGAAATTAAAATTGAGGTCAGGCCCTGGGGGTTTCTTTGGCACCCCCAATTTTTAAAAGGGAACATTTTTTTAAAAAAGACATTTTAAAAAATTCCAAATTTACGGGGGGGGTTTTAAATGAATTTAATTTTAAATTAATTTATAGAAGAAAACATGCAATTTTTTTTGATAAAAAAAGTGACTGGGCAACCAAAGAACAAAAAAAAAATACCCATATTTAAGCAATTTTTTCCGGGGCCGGTTTAGGATTTTGGTTTTTTGTTCCCGGTTTTTGGGTTGGCCCCCGAAAACCCGTTTGATCTTTATTTTTTTCCTTTAATTTTTAAACCCTAAAAAAGTGTGTATAATTATTAATTTTGAACAAAAAGAAACATTGGGTTTTTATTTTGGGCAGCTCTATTTGGGTTTTTAAATTTTGTTTGGGAAAATAAAAATTTAAAGGCATTTCATTTTTTAATTTATTTTTAAAAAACGAAATTTTTGACAATTTAAGTTGAGGGCATATAAAAATTTGTGCCATTTTTTGGGGGGGGTGGGGTGAGCCGAGATTGTTTTTGGGCCCGGGGTGCCCAAAATTATTTAATTAACCATGTTGACAATACCCTACCCAAAATTTGGGTTTTAGATTTAAATTTATAGGCCCAAAGTTATAACAAGAAAACAAAATGACACAATTAAATTCGCTTCAAAAATTATGTAATAAAAAATAAATCGAAAAAAAAACCCAAAAAAGATTTTTCTGATCATTCTCAATTTTGTGAATCTACGGCGGATTCTACTTACCACGACAAAAAACATGAGTGCATGCAAAAAAAAACTAAGAAACAGTTTGTTACCAAACTGTGATGATGTGCAAGCCACAAAGCGGTCTTTTTGGGGTGTGCACAGAATTGTTATGATTTGTTTTTTAAGCATTCTATCACATCAAAACTCGACCGCCATCTTGGCAGCTTTGTTCGGGAAAATCCGAATAATTGGCCCGTAATTAGATATCGGTTATTTTCCGTTTGCCTCGTCGTTGTTGTTACGGAAAAATTAAAGCCACGCCATCAAAGGCAACTCAATTAAATGTAAACGATTCGATGTTATATTCAACTTGAGCTCTACAAACCTCTCAAAAGGGGTTTTTACCCAGAAAACACAAGTGCCTATGGTGAGCACGGGACTTATCACGATGGATTTTTAAAGGATATGGATATAATCAGGGTCTTTCAGAAAGACCCTGATATGTACATGTATACTGTATCTGGTCTACACCGGTCAAAGAGAGACCGATGCGTATACAAAATTGCCTTCCAACCACATACAGTGAGTTAGCCAATAGCGGATCATAGCCAATAACGGGGTCTGTCAGTAATTTAAACAGAGTATTCTTCAAACAGTTTTGAGCTTAAAAAATGTTTTTACTTAACAGGCATGTGCATTAGAGATGTTAGCTACTTGACAGCGGACAAAAAATGTAAACATCCGTGTAATTTGATATCAGATTCACTCAGATGCTTAACCAAGCGTTTCCGTTTCTCGTGAAATTAAGCGCCGTTGACAATGCATGTTGAAATCTGTTGCATTATTTATCATAGAAACTCGAAAGATATTGGATCAAAGCTGGTAGATATTTGATGCCCAAATATGTTAACTACCTGCAACCCACCAACCGTTTAAAAAAACTTGAGGAATTATATTGATAGCGCTATTCAAATGAATTGCACCCGAGTTGATCCAATAGCGGATCATGCAATTTATAGGAAGGGACCGCCTCAAAGTTATCCAAACTGTTATACAAAAATATTTTTTAAAGAAAATTTTGGTTTGTAGACTAAATAAATAAATAAATAATATAAAGTTTAAATGATTTATGTTATTATTACAACTGAATTATGCAGTCCATGCCAAAAAAAAAGTATTTTTATGCAGTATAAACAGCTGCAACAGTGAAATACTGTTCCAGGTTACATGTACGTAGCTGTAGGTATCCAGTTTTTTTCCAGACTATATAACATCATAAATGATTGTTATTTAATAAAATCAGATACAAAGAACATATTTTTTTCATATTCAGCTATGTATATGACATATATATTTGAGACTTGTCCTCACCCAGCGTCTGTGTCCGTGATTTCAGTTTAAGATTTTTATGCAGTAATTTTACAGT